TGTTGATAACCGATGAAATAGTAACCACTTTGCTGGATGAAGTTAAGCTGATTCTGCAAAATACTGCAGGTGGTGATAACAGTGTAACAGTACAAGACCATCAGCCTACAGAAAAGAGAAGACGTCGTGAAAACTCTGGTTTCAAAGACTACATTGTTGACCATCTGCACAGAGATAACACCAATTTGTCAGAAAATGATAATCTCAAACGATCGTGGTTCTGTCTAATTGACAGTATCCTTGTTGAGCTTGATGAACGTTTCTCGGAGAAAAATTGGCATCTTATTCGTGCCATGGAGTCACTAGATCCCGAATCAGAACATTTCTTTGACAAAGACCGAATGGGATTTCTCGCAGACTTGATTGGTCTTGAAATGGACAGCTTTGTTTTGGCTCCAATTGATGTTGCCAAAAAAATACATCAGTGATCACTGGAAGAAAAACGACAAACATAACCTGGTGTTTATTTTGCAACAGCTTTTTCATTTGAAATCGAAGGGCTTTCCAGCCATTACAGAACTGTATGAGACAACATTAACAATTGGATCCTCAACTGCAACATGTGAAAGAGTTTTTTCTGCTCTGACAAATGTGCTTACAGACCTCCGTCAGTCGATGTTTCATGAAAGACTGGCGAACTTAATCCTTATCAGGTTTGAGAAGTGCATCCTTGATGATATATGTCAGAGTGTTGATGGGAAGCATAAGATATTGAGAGATATTCAGAATAGACGATTACAGTTGTTTTAATAAAAAAAATGGACTTAGTTTACATTGCTTTAATTAATTACAACGGTTTACAGTTGTCTTACAGCGATTACAGTTGTTTTAATAACAAAATTTGGACTTGGTTTACATTTCTTTAATTAATTACAAGGGTCCAATCAACTTTCCCTGAGACTGACTCGTGCTTTTTGTTTTGATTAACCTACCAGTTCATAACTAACTTAAGCTCTTGTTGTCAAATATTTTTTCATGAGTGAATTCGCTTATGAATTAATAAGGAACATCAATAAATTATAACAAAATTTATAACGAAAACTGAAAATAATTACAATGTACTCGCGCCCTTTGAGTTTGTCTTTGCGCCCTCAATGTGTGCGCCCTGGCTACGACACTGCTGTAAAGCACCCTTAACCATTATTTGTGGTTTGAATTCCAAATACTTGGCAATAACTTTTCACATTAAATTTTCAGCCAAATCCACATGTTGAGTTGGTTTGTATCAGGTGTTTATTTTTCAACGTTTCTATAACATTGTCAAAACAAAATATGATGATATGACACATTATGTTTATATGATATTCTTGAAACATGACGTCCACAGAAAATGAAGATGACAAACAATTAACAGCATATTTATTCCAGGTAAAGGATTTTGTTTTCTTCCTTAGTACTGAAAAGTTAACGGACAATCTGTATTAAATAATTAACATGAAAAAGAAAACTAAAAAAGCTTTTTCGTAATCTTTACCTGAATAGCATGTTTTGATCCAGTGTAAGATGCTGAATTAGGTAAACCTGTAAGATTACAAATAGATTCAGTTCCAAAAAAAATAAGTAAGTTGAGTCTTCAATCTGTTAGTTTCAACAACCCATGGCGACAGAAAATATTGAATATGCAATTATATTATCTTTACATCTTGTATATAACCTTCCTCAAAACATTTATTTTTGTTCATATTCAAAGATCCAGCAAAGGTGTTAAAACAAACACTTTTCGTCAACAATTTGTCAACTACTGTTGATCTTCAACAAAAGAATAAAATTTGAAAATCTCTAAATTACGGTATTACAATTATATGTAAGACATTTGAAAACAAAATCAGTCTCTTGAAAAACTTTTATTTCAAATAATTCATCTCCTTTCTTAGTAGTAAACACAAATTTCTATAAATGAAATCATTCTTTATAAATAAACATAACAAATTAGCCTTTTCTTTTATCAGTGTTTGAGTATTACTAGTGTCTTTCATGGGATTTTAGAATTTTTGATTTATCTTAAGGGTTAATCGCACTACATAAGAACGATGCTACAAGTCCAGAGATGCTATTAGAACAACTACTATTACACCTGATTATGGACTATTGCCCGATATCATAATTTCTATTGCAACAAGCTTCTACAAAGGAGGCGAAATAAATATTAGCCCAAATATCTTAATAAACTTTCAACATATCTTCCACTATACGTGGATGTAGAGATTGAAAAACCACGTTGGGGCTGTATCGGAAGACTTGAAAGGTACGTGATCGCATGATATTGATACCATTTCTATTCCTTTGTCACGAAAACAGCCATTAATTTTCTTGTTCTAAATTTACTCACTGTAAACTCGTGAGTTTACAGTTAAAGATCATTTTTCATTTGCTCATTTTGCAGAGAAGTGGGGCAGCGTACACTAATTACAATTCGCGAAGGTAGATTTTAATAAATGACCCCCTCCTGTGGCTCAGCGGTAAGTTCGAAGGCTTATAGCTAAAACTTACTTTTGTTACACGCGGTGGGCATAATACAAATAGCCCACTGCGTAGCTTTGCACGTAATAACTTCGAAAAAATTGACTATCAATGAATATTCGAACTAGTGGTTACGTAGCTTTTAGCTCTTTTCAGTATTTTCTGTTTGTTTGTTTTTAATGCCAGGAAGATGTCGAAACTTCTTTTGTAGACGTACACGGTACGGATTATTCCATCAACTGGAACCACATACACAGTTAGTTTTATTTGATAATTTGAAAAATAAAAGTGAAATTATAAGTAATAGTATATAAGGAAAATATGGACAGAAACAGGAGCTAGTTAGTTGTTTTTATCAGTACGTGTATTGCCAGGAAATGTATTTGTTTGTTTGAAGTTAAGCACAAGCTAGCTACACAATGGACTCTCCGTGCTCTTCCCACCATGGGTATCGAAACCCGGTTTCTAGCGTTGTAAGTCCGCAGACATTCCGCTGTGGGGGCTCAGGAAATATAATAGAAGATATTATATGAGTGTACAACAAAAAAGGATGGAAATAACAAGATATAAATGATGCTACGTTAAATACTACGATAAATACCTAAGTGTCGTTTATCTAAAATTCACTCACGACTCTTATAGTAAAATGCGTACTGAATATCATGTCTGTGACGTAATACGAAACGACGTACATATAATGTAATCAAGCCTTCATTCACTTACATCTATTTCAATACACACCATAATTTCTAAAATTTTGTTTTACATTGTTTATATTAACTTGTAAGAAAAAGGACAGGAATTACTCACCGTATTTGCCTGCAATACTGCTGTTGACCATAACATGGCCGCCTCCGTTTGACAGGAAATGAGGTAGGACAACCCTCGTCAAAGATACGTGAGAGAAAACATTCGTGCCAAAGAGTTGATAGTCTACTTCTGTGGTGATTTCATCAAATCTGGCTCTTTGAGAGCGTCCGGCATTGTTCACCAAAATGTCTAGCTACGATTTAGAAGAAATAAGACAAATATAACGATATGTTGTTTATATATGAACACACTTTACAGTATTAACTTGTTTGTTTTAATGTCCAGAACCCCTAATCTCAGTAGGTGGTACATACATCTGTCCAGGAAATACTTGCAATGTTTGTATAATATTTTATTCATTTACAACAAACTGCAAATCTGAAAGAAAAAACAGGATTTCACCTTAATGCATTTCCGGGTATCTCTCAGATAGTTATAATCTTCTTAATGCTAACACCAAGTGCTGCTCAATGGCGTAGCAAGAGGGGGTAAGGGGCAGTCGTCCCCGAGCGCAGGTGTAAAGGGGCGCAAAATTTCCTCTGGCCTATAATGCCTATTAATTAATAATTATCCCCTCCCCTAGGCTATAGCGCAACTGCCCTACGTTAAGTAAATACGACAGTGTTACGTTATTTGTGTGTACTACGCTTGCAGTTTTAACTTTTAAAAACCGTCCACTGAAATACAGTGAGACCGAATTGATGTACAGAAGTAAATTACACTATTCTATCATTC